ACAACACAGTACAATACAATACTTTATAATACAATACAATGCATTGAGATAATTGTAAATAACTGTATGATAAGTTTGTAAATTTTCGTTTTTCAATTTTACTTTTAGTGGATTAAAAAGTGACGTGACAATTAGCTAATCAGAAAGCGAGCTAAGTTTAAAAATTATTTTAAATTTGCTGGCTAATCTGCCTGATTCTAACCAGCTTTCATCTTTAAACGCGTATAGCAATGAATAAAACATCCTGGCCTATATATCAGCGTCAAAGGATATTATACCCCTATCTCATCTGTAATTCTCCCCTTTTTATCTGTTTTCATTAGGTAGGTCTTGCTGTTGGTGACATCGACAAAATTCAACAGAATGCTTTGATGGATCGTTATGTTTTACAGGTCAGTGTAAATTAAGCAGAAACCATACGTTTTTTTTAGTATGCGGGAAAAGCAATGCATACAGCTGTAGCTCACTGACCTTCCATTGACAAACGTGGAATATTTCTTCCCGTTACCACAGTTAAGGAAATTCCAGATTTATGGAAGCCTTGATAACTTTTGACAACAATGTTGACCTCGGCGTGGTAGGGTTTATGTCGCGCGAGTGTTTCTTTTGGCCAGGCGATGCAGAATCGAATGAGCCTGATCTTTAAAATTATACGCCCAGGTAGAGGGTAGCCAGCGAGCAAGCTCTCCGGGGCGCTCTAGCGGTGGGGCGGGAAAAAGAAGGAGAGCTCGCAACTGCGTCTCTGGAATTTGAATATCTGCATCAAAAAAGTCGATGCGAAATGCGGAGGTTACATTAGTAATGACTTCATTTCCCTGGTACATGTTTTTCAATGTGTGTTTACATTCGCGCTCATTTCCGCTTGGCGCTAATTGGCCGAAATCTGACAGCTCAGTCGAGCTACGTAGTTGCAAGCTCTCCTTCCTATTCCCGCCCTGCCGCTAGAGCGCCCCAGAGAGCTTGCTTGCAGGCTAGGTGGAGGGTGACAATGGTGATACACGGGGAAGAAGATGCACCAGGAAGAGGAAAAAGAAATATAAGAACGAACCATGAACTGGTTAGAAAGTTAGTGATAGGGTTAGAGTTAAAGGTTGGTTGTGTGTCCAATTTTCATTTTCCTATTTGCCACTTTAGAATTGAGAGAAAGGCGAGTTAACTTTCGCGAAGAATTCTGGGACTGTTACTAGGGACAGTGATAAAATTGGCCAATAGCTGAGCGGCACGTCCCTAGTAACAATCCCAGAAACGATTGCGAAATCCATTTCGGCTCCAGTCCCCTTCTCGTTTCTAAAGTGGCGAGGCCGTTTCCGAGTTCCCCCGGACCTCTGTATCAAAACGAGGTTAAGTGCTCAGCCTTTTATATGCAAATTATTTTTCATTCTCATGCAAATAAAACTCATTTTCACAAGAAAGGTTGTGCACTTGGCCTCATTTTGAAAGTGAGAGTTTTTGGAACTCTGAAGTGGCCTATTACCAGTGCTTATTTCCCGTTTTTCATTTTTGAAAAACCTTGTCCAAGTGGAAGTGGAAGTAAAATAACAGGATCTTTGATTTGATTTTTTCAATTTCAGGTTCAGTTACTCTTGGATATTGAGCGGTCTATGCCCATGTGGATTCTTAAACGGGTACAGGTTCAGGGCTACTCAGAATACCCTAACCACCCTAAAACACTAAAAACCAAGGTAACGAAGAGATCTTTATTTAAATCTGGCACAATAGTTTACCAAGGAATTTTAAAAACGTTGGTAGTCGAATCACCGTGAGAAAGCAACCCCTACATCCTCTTTAAAAAAGACAAAAGGGCCAAAGCATTCTTTGTGGCCAATTTGCCGTGGCTGCTTAATTCTATGACAGGGTTTGGAAGCGGAAGGGAAAAGGGAGGGGCAGAGGGTACGGAGAGCGGAAATGGCCGACGCCTACAGGCGCCCTTAACACTTTTTCCTTTGTTTTTTTTTAACAATCAAGACCTTGTTTATTTGCTGATATTATTTCTTTATTTCCTTGACCGTTGTGTTTCATCAAGGAGAAGTTAAATGCAGATCACTAAGAAGTTAACGGGTTAACAAGTTGGTACGAGTAGTATAATCATCATGAGTGCATTACCTTCTTTCCCAGTTGGCAGATTTGTTTATCTCTTTTGGCAAGCCAGAAACAGAGATAGTGGAGGAAGAGGAAGAATTATCACCAGGAATGGTACAAGTTATTGAGAGGCTTGAGCAACAAGAAAAAAGGTTCGTCATTAGAAGCTAAATGCCCTGGGGAGGGGGGGGGGGGATGTTTGGGGGGGGGGGGGGGGGGGATGTTACTCCCTTATATGGCCCATACGGGATGTGCCGCTGGACAAGGTACATGGGTTTTGTCCTCTTTGTCCTAAACAGGGTACAAAATTTCGTGCGAGTCTGTCCTAATTATAAACAGGGTATTGCCTGCCCGATTGATTTGATTTTCTTGACGAAATTTGTTATTTTTGCTCCACCATAAAAAAGCAATGGCTATAACGTGAATTTGCCCTATTACAATTGCCAGTAGTAGGCTTTGAACAAAAAGGTGTGCATTTTGTCCTTTGTCTTAAGCAGGGAAACAAAGTTGAGGTTGTTGTCCTAAACAGGGTATGTTTTTTAGGATTTTTTTGTCCTAAAGAGGGCCAGGGTTTCGAACCCTCTGCGGCTCACCCGTGACTAAATACTGGTCGAGTACCCCTCCACCGGGTAAACACCATCAATATAACGCTCTACAATTATCCATATAACGCTCTACAATTGGCCTTGAAATAATAAAAATTAATGATTGGTTTTACTTTATTTGGCTCAGTTAGGAGAGCACCAGTCTGCTGAGCGGGAGGTCGCGGGTTCAAACCCCGGCCCGACCAACACTCAGGGTCTTTAAATAGCTGAGAAGAAAGTGCTGCCTTTGTAAAGACATCTGAAAACGGTTAGAATGTCTAGTATTCTCTGATAAGGACAAACAACCGTAGGTCCCGTCTAACAGCACTTTCACTTATCTGGTTCTTTTGGGACGTAAAAGAACCCACACCACTGTTCGAAAAGAGTAGGAGAGTTAGACCCCGGTGGTTTGGCCATGCTTTCCTGGGCTGGGTGGGTTATCTGTTAGGAGAGATCTTAATATAGGGATATCGACCCTTATGATCGTCCTTCAGATGTCGTAATTGCTACCTGTAAACAGTGTATGTATATTCCCTTAGGGTGGACAAGATGTACGACTTGTTAAGAGAGCAGACTGACATGTTAAAGGAGCTTAATCAACTCTGTCGTGCCAAGGAAGAAAAGCAAAAGGAGGAGAAGAAAGAAAGCGAATTTAAATTACCAGGAATGCAAATGTTTTCCAGTCTTCCTCAACTTCCAAAGTTCTAGATAAAAGCCACTGTT